GCTAACAGTGCAGACAAGATTTTTTGAATCAGTACCCCCCCCCTCCACACACACACAACCAGTAATCCTACATTCTTCCAGTGCTGGAATTTCCATTAGATAGTGTAGGTACAGTGCCTAAGGCCTACAAAAGGAGGGAAACACTAGTAACTAACAAAAAACTAGCTGAAACAACAAGCTTGCGTTTGGCTCTAGGTGCTCCAAATCAATAATCATACGCTATCTAGCGGCTATTCTAGAAAATAGAAGTACCGAAATGATGGTCGCTCAACTCGCTCCATCAATCACGTCGTGTAGCATTAGAATAGTTTAAAGTGCATCATGTTGGTCTATGTAATTCAATTGGCATTTACCCCTCTTTTTGCACATTTCGGAGTGAAAGTGCCTAGGGTCTACGAACACCAATATCCAGCCCTGCTCTCTTCCACACTCGCTCCATGAACCGCTCCATTCTGTTCTGTGTACCTGGAGTAAACGGTAAACACAAAACCAAGCAAGAGCTGGGCCTGCACCCTGCCATCCTCAGACAGCAGGTAGGCTTCATAGAAAAAACTGACACAAGCTGTGCACACAACAAATGCATAAATTATTTTTACTGCAGTAAAGTGGTGAGACTTTTATTGTCTGTTCTGTATTTTCCCTTTCTCTGTGGCCCTCCTGTCCAGGGAGAAAGCAAAGATGTGCTATCAGTGTTCCCTTACACTGTTCACTCAGGATAAGTTCTGGCTATGTTAGTTAATAATAACAGACTGATTTTTTCTTCAAGAAATTGGCAGGAAACATACGATAAAAAGGGAAGTAACTTAGAATTGCACACTGCAATACAGGCTGTGTTGAACATTGTATTTCCCCTTGGCACAACAGCAGTTGTTTTTCAAGACCACAAGATGAAATGATCACAGAAAGTACGTAATAAAAACTGCCCCTAAGTGTTTTTTGTATTTGGAATTTAATGTACATCCACATTTCCTCTTACACTTTGTATCACTAAAGAAGATTAAGCTCTTTAAAAGTATCAGTGTGAATATATTTGTATAAATGTTTTTTTACCTTCCAGTGTGGTTAAACACTGCATTCATACACTACAGGTCAAATGTTTGCAAAAGACAACAAACAAAAATGTAGAAAATATTTGCTAACAATGTATGATCCCTGATTTAAACTCTTTTTTTATGTATCAAGTATACCCGAAAGGAAGCAGTTATTGTTATTAATGATAGAATACAAGTATTATTAATATGGCATTCATTTGGTTGCTTTTCTCTTAAAAGAAATGTGAGCCTGGCATGTTCTGTCTCTGAGCAATCTGAATCAAAGCATGGAAGAATGTTTTGTGTGGATGTAGTCTGAAAATTAATCGTCTAATGGAGACCTTGCAATTGAAATGCCTTTCTTTAAACTCATTTTTGTGATCTGTGGGCATTCATTTTATCTCTGCAAGGTTTTGCTGTAAACACTGTATCATATTAACAGAATCAATTGTTATCAAGATCCAAAGATCCAACTTACCTTTTCACTGAAATTCTAGAATGTAATCTTGCAATTCAGTTATATAACCATATCATTGCTAATAACCTCTTCAACAGCCTTTTTGTAAACAACAGAGCTATTTAGTGTTTCTGGCATTGCTCTTAAGTGGTTCAAGTATTACCTTACTTACAGTATAACAACACTTTCTCACTCCTGGGGGTTTCAGTTCTGAAGTTGGACTTGTTAAGTCTGGTGTTCCGCAGAGCTTGATACTAGATCCCCTATTATTCAGCATTTACATATTCTCCCTTAGAAAGCTCTTAAGATCACATGATCTGAATTAGCACTTCTATGCTAACGATTTCAAATCAATGTCCCTACTAAACCTAACACAGAGGTGTCCATCTTTGCACTCTCTAACTGCATTTCTGACATTAAAACCTAGATGACTCAAAATTGTATTCACTTTAACTGTGACAAGACTGAAGTCATGCTTCTTGGATAATGCCTATAAACTCCATAAAACCAATGCAGTAACACTATCTGTCTGTGGAAGGCCCTGTACTTGAATTTCAATCTAAATTGAAGAACCTGAGGGTTATATTTGATGCAGGTTTAAAATTTAACCTACATGTCCAAAATATTGTAAAAACATAATTCTTCCATCTCAGGACATTACTGCTGTCCTGGAGTCCTGGCTTCCTTTCAGGTTGTATGCTGATTACAAAATCTACATGCTCACCTACTGTATAAGGCTATACATTGTTTGACACCATAGTACCAGTTGTCTTCTACTCCCCACCTTGCAGCCTTTATTCATCTGCCTCTTATCTCCTGTCGGTCTAGGCTTGTCTACATTCTGTGAGTGACAAGGCCTTCTCTTGTTATGTCCCAAAGCTCTGGAATTCTATCCCCAAGGAAATCAAAGAGTCACTCTTTCTCAGTGATGTCAGGACCAGACTCAAAACCTTCTTTTCAGAAACGCATTTATTTAACTGATGTCTGCGTCTGCCCCATTGCATCTTCTACAACATCCTTAACTCGATCTTTGTTGCTGTTTTCATTGTATTCACTGTTTTTGTTTTCTTTTTCCTGTAAAGCGCTTTGTGAAGATGCTTTTGATTGTGTGTTTAGGAAGCTGGTCCAATACATGCTTTGCTGATCATAGTTTCAGGTGTTACCTACAAAGTGGTTGCTTTTGGAGCTAAAAACAGCTTCCTGTTTTTGAAGCAAGGCCTGGAAAATATACTGACTTGTGAGCTGCACTTTTCTTGTAAGTCACTAAACATCTCTACAGTCTTTTTCAGATTACCTGCACCATTACAACTGACTAATTGACAGATACCTGTATCCCTATGATCAATACCACTAAATAATATATTCCACCATTTTTAAACATTCTACACATTCACTGCAATATTTGTAGAGAAATGGGGTTCTTTCCAAAACCCATGTTCATTTGTGTCTGCATGCATGATTAAGAAGGCATTTCAGGTTTAAATACCTTGATACTCTTTTAAGTAACTTTGCAAATAACACAGTAGATATAATTGCAACAAA